GGAGTGTCTCGTGGGCCACCGTAGTGGGTGTCCATCCCATCCCCCCCCAAGAGCCAGAGGGACCTGCTGGGGGGGCAAGGTGGGGAGTCCCGGCGGTGCTTACCTGGGGTGGCTCCCGGAAAGCATCTGGCAGGTCCCTCGGGGCGGGGTAGCATAGCTGGGGGGGAGCAGGGGGGAGCGGCTGCTCTCCCCACTGAAAGGTAGTGCCTTAGGCACCAACTCCGTGGGTGCTCCGGGGCTGGAGCCCCCATGGGGAAAATTTTGTGGGTGCAGAGCACCCACTGGCAGCTCCCTGCCCTGCGTCTGGCCCCAGCTCACCTCACCTCACCTCCGCTCCGCCTCCTCCCCTGAACACCCCGCCCCACCCTGCTTCTCTGGCCCCCCTGCCGGCTTCCCATGAATCAGCTGTTTGCACAGGAAGCTGGTGAGGGCTGAGAAGCAGGTGGTGGCTTCGTGCTCTGGCCCAGGGAGGCGGAGGCGAGCTGGGGCGGGGAGCGGTTCCCCTCCCCCCCCCTGATTACCTGCTGCAGTGCGGGCGGCCCTCCTCGTGCCCCCCATCCCCAGCTCACTTCCGCTCCGCCTTCACCTCCTTGGGCCTGAGTGCGAAGCCGCTGCCTGCTTCTCAGCCCTCCCAGGCTGACAGCTGATTTGCGGGAAGCTTGGGGGGCGGGGCGGGGCGGAGAAGCAGAGTGGGCCAGTGTGTTCAGGGGCAGAGGGGAGCTGGGGCCGGGCACAGAGTGGGGAGCTGCTGGTGGGGGCTCTGCATCCACCAAATTTTCCCCATGGGTGTTCCAGCCCCGGACCACCCACAGAGTCGGCGCCTAAGGCGCCACCTTTGGTCGGTTGTTAAATTTAGAAGCCCTTTTAGAACCACTTGTCCCACAAGGGACAACCGGTTCTAAAAAGGCTTCTAAATTTAACAACCGGTTCCCATGAACCGGTGTGAACCTGCTCCAGCTCACCACTGGTTGTGTATCTGAAATCAGAATCTTAACATCTGCAAACCAGACTTGCTGACTGTAGTATATCTGACAACGTGGTTCTTTTAGCTGATGGTTTGAGAGGTAGTAAACTCTCACATGCTCCAAGGGTGGTGGTTGCCTTCACAGCTTTGTGATGAATGTCAGTATAATTTTTCCTAGAATTGTTTATATTACAGTAGAGCCCAGAGGCCTCAGTCAAGGGTGAAGCCCCATTGTGCAAGGCACTGTACAAACACATAAAGAGACAGTCCCTACTGCAGGTTTACAGGCCAGACAGACAAATGGTGGGCCAAAGAAAGCATGATTATTTCTGTTACAGATAATGGAACTCAGGTGCAGAGGTTAAGTGACTTTCCCAAAGTTATTCAGAAAACCTGCAGCAGAACCAGACTCAGATATTTGTGTACTAGTCCAGCACCCGAACCCCAAGACCATCCTTCCTCGCTGTTCATTACTGTATTACAGTATCACCCAAAACACACCAGGCATGGTACAGACTTATGGGGAAAGTCTCTGCCATTAAAATGGAATCTTACAAGGAAACTCTCCCATAAATTTGGGACTTGCCATGAGCTGAGTTGTATATGCCTATGGCTTTTAGTGCAGGAAAAAAAATCCTTCTAAAGCAGTGGTTCCCAACCAGGGGCCCAGGGCCCCCTGGGAGACTGTGAGCAGGTTTCATGGGGGTTGCCAAGCAGGGCCAGCATGAGACTCACTGGGGCCCAGGATAGAAAGCTGAAGCCCTGAGCCCTGCCAGCTGGGACTGAAGCTGAAGCCCCAGGCAACTGCCCTGCTTGCCACCCCCTAAAACCGGCCCTGGCTTTTATATGCAGAAAATCAGTTGTTGTGGCATGGGTGGGCCATGGAGTTTTTATAGCATGTTGGGGGGGCCTCAGAAAGAAAAAGGTTGAGAAACCCTGTTCTAAAGCATCATCTAAACATTGGGAATCTGATCCCAACAATAAATGCTGTAATTAATGTGAACAACCAAAGTACACAAATTACTACAAAAACATAGTTCAGTTTTAAGGAAAGACTCCTAAAGTAAGTGGGATTTGCCACTGCTGAAAGCAGTATCAGTCATATCAAAACTGGCAGTATACAACTCGTTCTTCATACACAGACTCCCAGCAGATGACACTGCTTAGCAGGGCCTAACAAAGTAACACAACCTTTCAAGAGTATATGGAGTGCTAGCAAAAGGAGCTTTGTTTATACCGTGTAATGTTTTTACTTGATTCCTACTAGGAATGAGTAGAACCTTCATGGGCAGGACATGTCTGTTTCCATTTTAATTACGTCTGTATCTTTTCTTAAAAATTGCTCATATCCTCCAGGTCCTGGAGAGCACAATGAAGCAATAAAAGAGCCCAAATGACCCTACTGCCATGTATGTGAAACAAAGGTGAAGGGTCTCCCAGCCAATATGATGGATGGAAACCCTTCTCCCTCTCAGAAATGTCCAATCCCATCCCCTTTAAGTCATGCTCACAAGGAACTTGATTGTCTCTCGTTAAATTAAGATAATTGACTTATCCTAGAGGACAAACAAGCAACAGCCCCTATACGAACAATGATGTATCTAAAATAGGAGGCCTTTTCTACCACCTATATTTGAGTGCTGGAGAAAAATGTGTAGTCAGACTAGGTAAAAAGATATGTACATATATATTATTAAACCATATTTATGGCTCCAAAGTTAAGGCTGAGCTGGGCTTTCCTTTTAGAATGGAGTGTAACAATTTGTCTCTTAATTAGGAATAATAATAAAAAAAAAGTAGGCCTAATATAAAATCACACACATCATGATAGGGGAGTGATGGAATTTTAGTGAAAGTTACACGGAGTTGTTTGGAAGTTCTAAGGTGTTTAAAATTGCTCCATTTTGAATGGGGGGGGGGGGAGGGAGTCCGACATTTCTTTGCTCCTGCTATCTCACAAATGGTTTCTTGGTGCCCAAATTTCCTATATAATTAAATGTCCTTGAAAATCTGTACACCCACTCCTTTCTCCTCCCACAAAGTGAAAGTAATAAGGCAGATCCTCAAAGGAAGTTATATACCTAAATTCCTTTAAGGGTCTGGGCCACTGGACCTTACATCAACTTGATCCCTTTCCCCCCAATTTAAATGGGGAACTGTCTTTACAACCCAGGAAGAATGTTCCACACACATGTGGTGGCATGGAAGAAGCACATATGGCTGTGAGAGAAAAAAAAAAACCAAGTATGTTGAGGCTGGTAAAGATAATGGGATTAGAGTTGGTAAAACTGTTCCGGTGAAATGTTTTTCACCAAGAAATGCAGATTTGGGCTGACCAAGACTTACTGCAAATTCATGTTGAACTTTCTGAATTGTTTCACTCAAAAATATATTTTTTAAATATATTTTAAAAAGTTAGAAATGTTGGATTTTGACATTTTCAAAATCTTTCAATTAAAAATGACTTTTCATTCTGAAATTTAAATTTTATTTTAATTTAAAAAAAAACACCCTCAAATGAAAATGTTCAATTTGACCAGAAAATTTTTATAAAAATTTTTTGGTGTGCTGATAAATTTGAAAAAATTCATTAAGGGACAACCCGATATTAATTTTTTCATCACAAATAACTCCATTAAAATCAACAGAATTACACCAGAGCAAGTGCGAGGTGAATCAGGCCCAAGTGCAGATAAGTAGGGAGACACATGGTTATGTATGAAATTGAGGATGAAGACAAGTATTGTGAACTTGATGTGGTGGAGAAGGGGAAGTGATTCAAAAGCCCTGGTCAGAATGACTGGCAAAGATAAGGATTTTAGCAGCTGTACTTTGTTTGGACTGGAGTGGTGCAATAGGGGTGTCAGACACCAGTGACAAGTGATGATTTAATGCACTGTATGAATTCACTTTAAAGGTACAATTGTCCTGCTTTCACGCATCTAATGTTGTTAATGTAAAATAGCTACCACTTGTCCAGAGTAGACATTTCTAAGTGAGCTGCTAGCCTGATAGAAACCTGTACACATCTCTGCTTAGGAAAGCAATGAAAATAAATCTGTGCAAAAAAAATTCACTGTGACTACCAGTGCCCAGCTCATGCTACTAGCCGAATATTTAGGACCCTTTTCCTATTTAGGAAGCACAAAGCTAATGCTAATCAGCTGCAGGGAGTCAGATGATCAGTAAGGTAATAACAAAGATAGGACTATTGGTAGGGTGTAAATATGAAACTAGAGTCTTCTTGTTCCCAGGTCAGACTACCAATCCCTTAAAATGCAGATGTATTTTAAAGGAATAGTCTAAACACAAAATATTAAATATCGTAAAACCGGGCTATTAGGATACGACATAATCTGCTATCTTCCAGATTCTATATAATATTATTTTAAAATATAGTATTCTGCTGCCTCTTTTTTTAAAAAAAGTCTGTAGTTACTGTATATCCATGCAGTCTCTCATACCACTATGCAGGCAGACAGGCAGCCAACGGAGGGAGCACAGGTGAGCCCCTGCTCCCAGAACAGAGTTGTTGCTAAGGTGTGCTCAGGACAGGAAGGAAATGTAGAACAGCCATGGTGCTTTATGCTACACAAGAAGCAAAGCCAAATTTATAACTGTCAAGGAGAGACGTGATTCTATGATACTATTACAAAAAACAGATTAAAAATATTTTGAAAACCTCTAGCTACGTACTACTAGACTGTGCCCCCTTAAAATATAACACTGCTTCTGAAATCCTCACACCCAAGAGAGCTAGCGCCTAGCGGGCGAAAAAGGGAATGAATACTGAAGGTATTAAATCTTGAAAGAGCAATGGGAAAACTGTGACAGCAATTATAATGGCAGGGTGGCATGTAGGTTACAATGGGAAGGTTATTGTGAGATCTTGTAAAAGAATTACAGCTTTACATAATCAGAGCTGTTGTGCATTACCACAAAAGCCACACCAAAACACTGTGCTAATGAAGCAGTGCAGAGAGTGGCCAGACTGTATTTACTGGAGGGCTGTGGGTAGATTTTTGTCACAATTTACCTTAATAATATTCCTCAGTGGCATAGTCCCATGGGAGAACCGATGAACAAATATTGTTTCAATCAACCTTTTGATGTAGTGGAAAGAATGGCAGATACATGCCAAGCTAGAAATAGCAAGACAAAAGCATTTAAGAATGCTACAGAAACAAGTGTGGCAAGAAATTTGGAATAAAAATAGGATGCTTACAAAAATATTGCTTGAGGCTCATAACAGAACTTACTTAACCACTGGATGTGGGCTTGATGTAATCTTGTCATCCAGCCCATAGACAAAAGGCATGCGGAAATAAAACAGAAAATAGATGAACAATGGACCTGCATATTCTGTCAAAAATACCTGCCCCAAAAAAAAAAAGAGAGAGAGAGAGAGAGAGAGAATAATTAGACAGAGCGGATCAGTGGCAGTGCTTTGTTTTCGTTTTGTGATTAGTAAATTCCTCCACCAATCCAGAATGGAGGTGTGTTTTTGTGGGTTTTTTTGGCATGACAACATTTGGAATTATAGACTGAGATTGTTAGAAATGCATACATATAATGTGCACTTGCATTTGCAGTAATGGCATCCAACTTAAGTATTTACATGCACAGGTGACAAGTTATTTGCAATTAACATGGGAGCACATACAGTTGTGATAAATGTGCATGCAAATTATATTTATATAATGTTAGCCTTTATTTTTCATCTTGGTATCCTATAAAACTACTTTTTGACTGTAGGTTAAAAAGAATGCTGGTAAAGAATTTCTCCAAAAAAAAGGTGGGGGGCAAGAAACTAGTTTCTAATGAGTCAATTTTGTTTAAAATAGAAATACTTCATACGAGCATCACTTTAACTTGACCTCAATTTTTATAATTACTTTTGCTTCCATAACTAATTAAAGTAGGTTCATGTCTGAATTATGGAGAAATAAGGGAAATGTATTGAACTTATGTAACAAAAAATCACCACTTTTTTCTGATATAGTTAGAGCTACTCATATGTCCAGAAAATGTGTTGAGGTATTGGTGATATTATATGATGTAATTGCATCAGCAGTCTTCCTGGCAAAAGTTAAATTGACTGTAGATGGGAAGACATTTTTTCTTTAAACTTGCTAAAGCTAAAGTTTGTCTTAGGTTATGTCTGAATAAGATGAATGAGGGCAGGGTGAGGGAGGGTCTAGATGTTTCACAGGACAATCATGTGGTAGGGTCTATGCTTTAATTTACATTATCATGTTTTGATATGCTGTGGTATTTCACTGTACATCGATATGAAAGCATCTTGATCTGATAACCTCATATTGTAATTATTTGTTCTGATCATCTTACTGCATTTAGGATTACTTTGTAGTCATCTTTTTCTAACATAGGCTCCAGTGTGATAATCTGAAGATTTATACTCAATGAAAAGTGATTATTTAAAATTATAGGGGGATTTATTACTTTTGTCTTTGCTATTTGTCATTAATAAGATTATATTAATTATGTTAACTAAAAATATGTTTTCAAATTGCTGTCTAACTTTACCTTCATGCTGTGACATTTAAATTAAAACTAAAGGACAATATGTGTGTTGTGGAATCACAGAAGGCTTTGTGCAGGGACAGTTTTCCACCTCATTTCAGAGCCACCATTTATTTTACCACCTAGTTAATGCTACAGGCTAATGCTGCCACAATGGAACTTTTCTCTGAATTAGGAGGGCAGAAAACGTTTGATGTTTTCAATTTCTGTTAATGTTAAGCTGAATGAATAACTGATTTTTCAGTTTGGTGGCTGAACTGAAAAAATGTTCGGGTAGTTTCAAACCAGAAATGATTTTTTGTGATGTTCTTTCTTGACGAAATGAAAAACTAAAAAGAAAAAAAAATTGTTTGGGTCAAATGAAAGAGTGTGAAGGTCTATTTGAAGCGACACTTGGTTTCTAAATGAAATGTTGATTCAAAACACAGTGTTGAAATGGTTCCTTTTGATAGTTTCAAAGCAAACTTCGAGTTTCAAAATGTTTGTTTTCAGTGTTTATTCAGCCAAAACTATTCACCAAAATGAAACTGAATTCATGCTGCCACTGAAATGACCAGCTGTCATTAGTGTCCCAGGACCTGAACTGTAAACATGCATGTGAGTAACTTTACTCTCATGAGTAGACCCATTGAAGTCAATGAAATTGACTGACATGAGTAAAGTCACTCATATGTCTTTGCAGGATTGATTGCCAGGACAACAGGATGAGCCTGATCTCGGACAGCCCAAGGAACAGAAGTTACATAGTCACTTAGTTCCTGGGTGCCAGGCTACCATGTTGCAAGGTGATCACTGCTGCTTTTCCATAGGGTGCATTGTCAGGATTTCATGATGTACTTTTTTTGGGTTCTCTAGTTAAATGCTTCTTAAGATTAGAGTCACTGAATATGAAGCTCCACTGTCTACATCTGCTGTCAGACCAGGCAGCGCATGGACATTCTAAATAAATGCAGAGAGAAAGTGATGCAAGAATTAATTAAGGAGAAGCATTAATTAAAATGTCTCAGGCTTGCAGCATAGCTCACCATAGTCCATCCTATTTGTGGCCCTAAATCTTTAAAATATAGTGTAGCGGTTGTGCCAACTGGGAGATGCTGCAGGATTTCCTCATCTCTCAAGGATTTTCCTTCTGAGAAGAAGAAGTAGTTATACACATCACAGTGAAATTAAAGTAAACTCTGGTACCATATTAACCCTAAAGAAACCCTTTAGTCTGTTTAGACCAATCTGTGGGATTCTTTGGCCTGACACATGCTTCTACCAGAGTCTTAGGTAAGAGGGTGCCATTTGATAAAACAAATGCAGTGTGCTTCTGTTTCCTTATATTTGCATACAAAACAATAGGAAAAAATATAGGAGTGAATTTGCTATGCACCCACGGAAGACCACTGAAACCAACACACCATCAATTGAATCCTCATCCCCTGCTTTGCAGTAGCATATTCCATTACAGAAAACGGGTAGACACTACTGGGGGTGTGTAACTGCTCTCTCTGTAGGGAGAGAGAATTTACATAGATCATGGACCCACTAACCAGTCCCCTTCTCATTCCTCATCCATGCAAGAGGTTGAAGAGTGCCCCTATGTAATCTCTTTGTGGCCTTCCACTTCAGTCCAATGGATATGTGGTTGTTCCACAGGGTTTTGGTCCTAGGCAGGAGGTATGGAGCAGACCAGGATCTCCCCCTCTCTGCATAGTAGAATGCAATTTATATTCAACTCTTTTTCAAGCTCTTTTGTTTAACTGACATCTTTACATTTCGGACGTTTGACCTATGAGACACATGCCTGCTTTGGGCTGGTGGCAAGTGCCTGCATTTAGGGGAATCCCGATAGTTCCAGTTGTTTCCCAGTGACCGCTTTCCCAGCATAAGCCACTGGATGGGGCCTGATAACGTAAGGAAAGGAAGGAAACAAAGCCGCTCAAGCACGTATTTTCCCAGGGACTGATCCCAACACAGTGCGTTAATCTTTACTAGCATAATCATTTAAAGGGATTGTGTAAACAACTGTATGCTTAGTAGCAGGGGGGAAAAGGTGCTACATTGTATTTGAATAACTATGGAGAATTAACATTTTTTCTCCAGTTATGCTTTCCCTTGTGCACCAATGCCATGCGACAAGAGTTTTCTACCAGAAATACCTGTGACTAAATTAACTGAATCAGCCATTTGGCACCAGCTAAGTCTGTAGATCCTATATTCCCATTAATTCATTTTGCATTATCTTATCACATGAGAAAACTGTAATGTCCACCTGCGATAAAACGAAATTAATGTGAATTAACAACACTAGCACATAACCCTTCAGACTTTTCACAGACGAGCACCACTTTGGGGTCCATCTCATTGCAGTTAGGTGCAGGTAATATATAGATTATATGCTGCTTCCATTGAAGGACAAGTGCTCAACAGTTGAAAACAAATTAAAACAATGTGCAAACTCCCAAGTTAACTAAACAGTGGGTACTGCCACCAGACCCATCTGTGGGACTCTGAGCAATAAATGTTCAAAGAATTCAGCTTGTGTGGGCTCCTTTTTGTAAAGTCCTTCATAATGTTAACTAGTTCAGCAAAACTCCCACTTATAGCAGATAATACCAGCAGAGAGGGCAAGATGTGGCACCCCTCTATGCAAGCACTATGTTCATAGCCTTATTACTCTAGGCTCAACTGGTACTTACTGGGATCAAGTCTTATTGACTGCCTTGCTGGATACCACTTGGGATCTGCAAGACAAATTAGAAAACATAAAATTATCCACAGTATTTGCTTTTGGATTATCCACTGTTGTAATGACTGCAACTGAATGAGAGAAGAAGTTTTTGGTTGGAGATTTTTATGACTTCTTGTTTTATTGTTTGTTATTAAAAAAAACAACAACAAGTTACAGATCAAAGCACAGATCTGCATGAATTAGGAGATGACAGCTAATGAAAAATTATTTTAAATGTCAGCTACATTAGTGTTCAGTTGCTGATTATTTGCATTAGTGTGTGTGTGTGTGTGTGTCACATGCTCCATCAAACTATATAATTTTATCTTAAATATTTATGTACTGGATATTCGGATGTGATTTGTACCGTTAGTATGTTTCTTTGAAAATATTATACTTACATGATTTATGGAACATCAATCTGATATCACTAATCGTGGCACATGGTTCCACCTAGGCAACAAAAAATACTGTTCATTTGTATTGGAAGATGATCAGTAGGTACAAAAAAATGTGCAGGTGGAAATGTGATTTTTCAAGTTGACAGCATTCCTTTAACTTTCCGAAACATGGCCAAAAAATTCTATTTCTAGTATGGACAGCTCAAGCCACTCGTAATAGGAAAAGGGAGCATTTAATCTCTAGCTCATGTTGCAAATCCATCCACGTTAATAATGACCAAAGTTATTACAACATGACGATAGTTTTGCGGCTTATGTGAAATCTCTCTAGGGTCACTTCACAACTGGTACTAAACTGGCACCCTTGTAGACCCCCTCAGCTGAGAGGTTGAATATGAATGAAGTTGGAAGTGCTCCCTGCGCTCTGGTCCTTCCAGAAGGGGGTTGAGGGATTTTGTAAGGCGACGTGGGCAAGTTTGCTCTGCCGCTGCCTAGGCTGTTGTCTCCAGTGGAGGAGGAAGGGTTTTCCATCTCCTTTCACAAGCACTCCATTTACTTACAGAAAATTAAAAACTTTCACCTGCCATTTTAACAATATTATCATTTACCTTATCCAGAAAGCACAGCTGTTGCTTTGTCTTCCAATCAAGGATTTCCACCTGATAGAGAACAAAATGACAACTCTGTTTGCTGACTGATTAATCTCGCAGCTCTTGGGGCATTCTTTAGAAATATGATCATTGCTAAGGATGAAGTACCACCTTCTTCCAATCGTCTGACTGTGCTAATATAACTATTTCTGATATAACCAAGAGGCAGCTTTGATCAGGACCAACTGCAGGTCTTTAAATCTCTAAGTGCAGTTGTACTCTGGAGCAAGAGCACTTCCTACCAAACAGATCTTCTCCCTGTGTGTAGTCAGAGCCACAAGTGCTTACTGTGTTGACCAAAATAGGATTTTGCCTTTTAAAAAAAAAAAAACAAAACACTTGTTAGTAAAATAGAGACAACATAGCTATGGGATAGCAAGCTAGATTTCCATCAAGTTTCACAGGTGTAACTGAGGGAAGAATTTGTCCTGCCAAATCTTTTACTGTTGCAAAAGTCAGACACAGCTTGGCACAGACAGAAAAGTCATAATTTTTACTTGTAAATAGAGCACATTGACCTATAAGTCACTGAGCAATAATAAACATACAATTCCCCAATGCCACAGAGTCACTTTCAGAGTAAAACTACACTTTTGGTCAAAAGAAACATACCTATTATTATAGAACTTATTTACTTATGTACACTTGGAATTGTTTAACTAAAATAAGCTAACATGTCTAACAGAAACCAACAAAGATCTTGCGCTGTAATATATCTCTTCAGGTACAAATACAGATGTACTATTGCTTACCTGGGCAACATCAAAGAATTTAAATATCACCATTTATTTCGTTTAATTCTGATGTTAAACATATACCTGACTTCTTTAATCTCTGATAAGTTAGCTTGCTGATGTCCTCTTAGTGTCTCTGATTTCTTAGACACTTCTTTGCTGTTCATTGAATGCTATTGTAAAACATTCATCTTTAAAATTCCACATGTGACGCACCCAACATTAATATCTGTTTATTTTAATGGTGTCATGTCAGTGCTGAAAATAACTTAAGGCCCAAACTTCTATGGTAGTCTCCATGGAGTAATTGCAGGTGAATAGTCCTGTGAGCAGAACCTTCAAGTGAATAAAGATTTGTAGGATCAGACGTCGAAGTTAAGTTTACTCATTGTATCACATGCAATTTCAGCACATTTTGTCCTGATGGAAAAATGCTATAAAACTGACAGATGTTAAACCACCAGGGTTCTACAAAAGTTAGTTTAAACCACATATATCATTTATCAGAGAATGTCGTCCTTTCTGCATCATTTTTAACCACGCCATAACACTTATCAGAAAATTAGATCCATGATGTAAAATTCAGTGGCTTGGTTTAAAACATTCTATAGAAAATAGAGAATTCTCTGATAAATTCTAAAGCATAAAAATAAAGCGTAGAACCCATGAACCCCTAGGCAGCTGTGACAATGCTATACAGGCATACTCTTGCTTCTGGGTAGTTATTAATCCAGGTGATCCCATCATGAAAAGTATATGTCTATTCCCCATTGTCTACCAGCCCCATGTGAGGGAATGTGTATGGAAAGGGGGATAGGAAAAGAGAATACTTTAAACAGTGTTTCCCAAATAATGGGCCCCGACTCACCAGTGGGTTGTGAGAAGGTGCTAGATGGGTTGCCATGTCCAGGGCCGTACTAACCCATCCCTGGGCTAGGCAAACCTGGTGCCCTGGGGGTAGTTGGAAGGTGAATCTGCCCCACACTCACCTTGCAGCAGTGACTCCCGTCCCGCGAGGCTGGGCTTGGCTCCCTGCTCCAGGGATTGCAACCTGGCACAGGGGTTTCAGTGAGTGGCAGCTGGGCCAAACAGGTCCCAACACCAGGAGCAGAGTGTTTGGAAAAGACTGCAAGTTTAGGAAAAAAATAAAATAAAAGAGGAGCAGTCTCCAGGGATTTCAAAGCCCCGTCTCATTAGAGCAGCCTTCTCAGTTTGTTCTCATTGACCCACTTTGTAATGGAACTCCTCTCTCATATCAAATGACTGGAACTTTGTCATTACTTAGTATTGGAGGGTTTTAAAATAAACATCTAATTTTAATTGTTTGGTATTAACTAACCAAGAGAGGAGATTAATATCAGACCCTCAATATGATACTAACTAAACATAGTCAATACCTTTATAATAGGAGTGTTTTGAAGTGATGAGATAGCTTATTTAATGTTTTGTATATGCCTGCTCTCTTCACTTGCCCTAAACAATCCTCTTTTTCTACCTGTGCACAATGAGCTGCCAAAATCTGAAGAACCGGTTCCTTCAGTATAAGTTTGAAATATAGACCAGGCTTTAAATCCCTCCCAAGACTGTAATTAAGAATGACTAATGTTTTTTACAGGGGCTTGCTCTGCAGTATTAGAGAGAGAACCTTTAAACAATATTTCTAAGGGCTATTTTCCAGTCACTTGAGGCTCCAAAGTTACATTCTATACAGAAGCTATAACTAATGGGAATATTTGTGGGAAAGGTATATATTTCTTTCAATGAAATAAGTTATTGGGTTGACTGTAAATACTCCCTGCCGTGTCTGCATCCCAAACTTTGCAGCATTGTGTTTGTGCATGGGGAACAGAAACTGAAACTACCAACAAAAAGGAAACTGCTCGGTTTCACTGTCCAAGCTGAGTTTTGTTAATAAAACAGGTATGTACATTCATTTTTTGGGATATACAGTTTTTAATCATTGTGTCCCTTTAATTAGAGACTTTATATTTTGTTTTTGACATACTTGGGCATTTAATACAGCTCTCAACTGTATCAACTGATCTTCAAAAATGATGTGATAAGCATTCTGAAAATACTCAAAGACACAATGATCATGCCATCACATCCTAGAAATTATACTTGTTGACATTTTTATTTGGAATAGCCTCACCAAATTTCAGTTTATCCTGCTGGGTACTAACACAAGCAAATACGGTATTGATTTTTTAAAATCACTCAGTTGGTTTTCGTTTTGTTTTTTAAAAAAAGCTTATTTTATAGTCTAGGAAAAATTATCCCTGAATAAGAGCAACACAAAATAAATTAATCCTGCCTGTTTATTAAACTGCTTACATAGGTGAGGCTCCTTAGATTTAGCTAGGGCCATGACATGATTTGTTCTTAGGTTCAATCACTTAATTTTTTTTATCCTCAGTTATCAAATTTCTCTCTCTAAACAGTTCCTTTATTTCAGTTGAGGTAAGTATATCCCCCTTCCCTTGAGATTTCTCGGTCATACTAAGCTATTTGTGAGAAAAGCAGGTGAAGCTGCACTCGGGACCTGATTCTGATTTCAGACTGATGTGAATCAGGAACAACTCCACTGAAGTCAGTAGAGTTTGTCTTGCAGCAGTCTGTGAGAGAGGAAAACCAAGATCTTTTAGTCTATTCTGCTTCTATCTCTCATTCCTAAAGTACATAATGGAAAAAACAGATTGCAACATCAGGGCCAACTTCTGCCACCTTCCTCATGCAGAGTAATAACTTACTCTGTGAGTAGTCATATTGCAGGAAATCACCCCACTGAAGTCGATGCATAACTACTGTTGACTTCAGTGGGACCAAGATTTCATTCCTTGACGTCACTGGGAATGAATCAAACTGTCAGTGTTTAACAGGACAATATAGGAAAGGTCCGGAGCCCATAATACCTTGGTGATCCTTTTGTCATGTATTTGTACAGATAAGTCTTCTTTGACTTAAGGCCACAAGTTTCTGTCTGAGAATGAATGTCCAGCGTAGGAGGAGACTCCAAACTCCAAGATGTAGTTCTCACTGAGAAGGGTGGAGTGGGGTAGAAGGATTTGCTCCCTTGTGGAAATGGGAAGGAGTTTAGCCCACAAGACACAAAAATACCTCGATATGTACCAGAGGCCTTATGTCTCCACAGTGGATCCTAGCCCTCACTAATGCCTTGACAGCACAATTCCAGTGCAGCTATTCTGCCTCCTTAAAAATAGCCCTTATGGGGCTTTCAGAAAGTGAAGAGGGGCGCCACAAAAGCTAATGCTGACTCAGTGGGTATTTACTTGCACTGGCAAAGTAGCCCTGTGGTACCTACTTCCCAGTCATGCTGAAAAGTTCCAGCATGCACTGGACTTCACTGTCTCCACTGATCACATTGGCATGTCTGCGTATGAGAGTAGGGTAAGCCTGCTTTTATTCAATACTAAGGATATCTCCAGTATTTTCAATATTGTTTCATATTCCATAACATACACACGACAGAATAAACACTGAATGAGGGTTTTGACATGTGGTGATCACATTCTGTACATACCCAACAACATTCAGGCAGAGAAGTAGGGTCGGCCTTAGGGGTGGGCCACCTGGGCGACTGCCCAGGGGCACCATGGTGAAGGGGTGAGCTGTCCAGAGGTGTGCACTGCCAGTGTAGAGTCAGAAACTGCTCCCAGCTGGTCGGGGGTGGAGGGGAAATCCAGATTTCTACCTGCTTCCTCCTGGGGGAGGAACATGGGTGGGAGTGGTGACACACAGACACTGCTCCTCCCCCCCCCCACATTCCTCCATGCCCCCCCAAGGGGCTGTGGTGCGGGAGGATCAAGGAACACCACCAAGCACTCCATGCATCCAGGTCACTTTCCCCACCTAGTCTGTGCTGTGAGGCGAGCACCAGGAGTTGCTGCTCTCTCCCCATCTGGGCTGCGTAAGGGGAGAGCAAAGTGACCTGGAGGAGGGGAGCTCTGACTTCACTCCCCCAACCCCAAGGGTGCACAGAGCAGCAACGTTCAAAGGGGGAAAGTAGGCAGCAATGCCATCTCCTCTATTCATCCAGCTCCATTTCCCCTCATGGGTCCAGGAGGGGGATGCTGGTGTTAGAGGTGCAAGGGGTGGTGGGGAGCCTGGGAGCCCACTGAGGGCCAGGGGCACCAAAATACAAGTTCATCCAGGGTGCCATTTTTCTTGAGGCCAGACCTGCAGAGAAGGTGTATGAAATAGAATTATCTCATACCCAGAAGGCCAAATGCTATTCCCACTCAAGTCAACAGCCATTTTGTCCTTGACTTTAACAGAACCAGGACTTGGCCCTGAGGGAATAAATGTGTCCCCAAAGAGGCAGCAGTTACCTCTCGGAAATCAAAAGGTAATTATATGTATTAGTACTGTGATTTGCAATGTTATAGTTAAATGTCTGTCAGAGTGCCCATTACCCCCCTTTCTGTCGAGCATTGTGTGTGTGGATGAGATAAGGTGGGTAAAGTAATATCTTCTATGGGATCAACTTCTGTTGGTGAAAGAGACAAGCTTTCAAGCTAACAGAGCTGATCTTCAGGTCGGACCTATGTGTGTATGTCAGAATATATCTAGCCTCTGTATGTTGTAGGATGCATGTGAAGTAGCTGATTTATGGGAAACACCTTTTCTTTTTTTCCTAATGGCGTCAGATCTGAGAACTTTGTTCTTACCTACTGACAAGGTAGTTAGATATTGCTATTTTTAGCTCGAGCCCCACTAGCACATGCCTGTATACCTGGGCAGGCTGGAAGTAGGGTTGCCGGGCGTCCGGTTTTTGACCAGAATGCCCAGTCGAAAAGAGATCCTGGCAGCTCTGGTCAGCGGGGCTAAGGCAGGCTCCCTGCCTGTCCTGGCTCTGCATGGCTCCTAGAAGTGGCCAGCATTTTCCTCCAGCTCCTAGGCAGAGGTGCGGCCATAGGGGCTCTGCACTGTTCCCAACCCAAGCACCAGCTCCACAGCTCCCATTGGCCAGGAACCATGGCCAGTGGGAGCTGTGGGGTCAGTGCCTCCAGATGGGGGCAGCGCAACAAGCCGCGCCTCTTCAGAGGAGCCGGAGGGAAATGCTGGACACTTCTGAGAGGTAAGTGCGGCCTGGAGCCAGTGCCCTGAACCCCCTCTCACACCCAAACTCCCTCCCAGAACTCGCACCCCCTCCTGCACTTTGAAACCCTCAGCCCCGGCCCCACACCAGAGCCTGCACCCCCAGCTGGAGCCTTCACCCCCCTGTCCGCCAACCCCATGCCCAAGCCCAGAGCTCGCCCCAAACCCCTCATTTCTGGCCCCACTTCAGAGCCTGAACCCCCAGCCCAGAGTCTGTACCCACTCCCTATCCCACTGCCCCAGCCTAGAGCCCCCTCCCACACACCAAACCCCTCATTTCTGGGCCCACCCTGGAGCCCTCATCCTCTTCCACACCCCTACCCAGCCCAGTGAAAATGAGCGAGAGCCGGGGAGAGTGAGCAACAGTGGAAGAGGCGGTGGAGCCTTGGAGAAGGGATGGGGAAGGGGCGTGGCCTCAGGAAGGGGCAGAACAAGGGTGTTCAGTTTTCTGCAATCCGAAAGTTGGCAACCCTAGCTGGGAGGCCTGTTCCCAACTGCAGTGCAAAGATAATGCCTAAAATCTTTGGGGCTGAAGATGGCAGTAGAGGACTTTGAAACCTCTAGGATTCTTGTTCTTTGTGATTTTCTGTTGCTAAGGAGCAGGATTAGCCCAGGGGTCTTATGAGGCAATGTGGACAGGTGCTTGAAGCAGCTTTGACAGGCACAGATCATTTACTTAGCAAAGTTTATGGGACAAAGGCAACAATGGATATAATACAAGGGAAAAGAGCCCCTCAGAATTTTCTTGCTTCTGGGCTTAGACTTCAGTGCAGAGGAGTCACCTAGGGCTCAACATGCAAAACTCCTACCTACCAAAAAGTCTTTGAAACTTTTATGTCTGAAAACATATATTTATAATAGTAATAGACAAACAAATATGTTTGTTTTCTTGAAGGAACGCTGAACTTGAAATTCAGTCAGTTTCAAACACTGAGGCTTCCTGCCAGGTGGTGTTTCTTTACAATCACATTTTCCTGTTTTTAAAATGATTCTCTCCCAAGACTCTCA